ACGTTTAATGACAATTAACATTGATTATAGACTTAAAAAATTTGTTTTGTTTATTATAGGTAAATATCAATTCGTCCAGTCCACGGATGGTAACGATTACATGTTAGTGTATGTGTTTATCTGCCTGTCTGTCTGCGTGTACCATATGCTTCAAGCAAGTTGAAAAGATACCAAATAATAGATGCAACGACATGACCACTAAAATACGTCATGGTTGATGGTCCATTGTTAGGATGCCATTACGCGATGACTACTTACGGTGGTAATTATACCATTCGATAATGATACTATCATCCGAAAATGTGCTATAGCAGGTAATGCTCAAACACAATGTGATCAACAATGGATTAAAGTGAATTGTTTTCAATGGGTCGTTTATCAAGAAGTATGTATGGATATACCTAACTTATGATCACGTTTGTTCTGACGAACGCTACTAACATAGTGAAAAAACGGACAGGAACGATGGTGAAAAAGCAGTATGGTGCAATCCTTGAAACAACATTAAATATGTAACGTTGTCTTAATGCAAACATATTGCCATAGCGAAACCCCATCATGAAAGACACATGAACTAATGGAAAGAGGTACAGAGAAAAGGAGATTAATTAATTAAATGACCTTGTCACATGCATCGATCACATAATTTTTTGTAAAAAGGAAAAACAACCACAGTAAAAACAATGACTGGTACTTCTACTTAGGGAGATATTTGACTCGAATAAAATTACCCACATGTAATCGTCCTATGAAATACCCAAAAAAAAGTAAATTATATTTCACGACAATAAATTATAATGGAATTAAGAATATACCAAACCGCCGTATTATCTATCAAATGATAAGTCGATCGGCCATTACCATCCACTATAAAAAAATTCATTGGTATTAACTGCATAGGAAAAAACTGCCTTCATTTTTCTTCGAATTTTAAGAGTAAAAGAACCATTTTCATCTTTTGCTGCTTTAACTTTGAAATAAGTGCAAAGAGCACATCTCTACAGCAAAAGAAAGAAGGTAAGGATGCTTAGAAACAGAACATTACAATATTTCTATCTTTATTGTTCATTTTTCAGGTAACGGTGAAAAGCGTGAGAAATCACCGTAGGATGTTGGTCCCCTATTCAAAACATGCAATTAAAATATGAGAAAACAATGAATTGCAGAAAAAAATGGACAAACTCACTTTTTCGAAAATCTTAACGCTCTTTTATATACGCCGATGAAAATAAACAGAAGAAATGACACTTTTTTTCAATTTTAAATTACTAATATTAATTAATGGACTTCATTACTTTCCTCACTGTTTGTTCATTGTTATATATTCTTTTTATGAGATCTTTTTTGAGAAAAAAGAATTTTTGTATTTGATAATTTCTCAATTAACTTTTCAAAAATTTTCAATTTCCAAGATTTTTCGAAACTTTTAAAAATAATATGGAATTTAACGGTGGTCCCACAAAAACCCTGGATTTGAAAAACCGAAAAAAAGATGGCATAAAAAATAAGGAACTCAACATAAGTTTAACTGCAATTAGCATGCAGTTAACAAATCTTCAACAAAATTTTGTGATCTATTTTTTTTTCCGAATAGCTAATTACGAAAACTAATTAAATTTGCACCGTGCACTTATACACGAACAGGAAATGTATCGCGCTGAGTACTCCAGAATTTTAATAATTAGTTTGGTTAAAATACACAAAAAATAATTTACCAACACGGCCCGATTTTTTCCTCCGGATTTTCGACGAAATTCAGCAGGAAAAATTTTGCCAACTTCACTTTTGAAACTTGAATTTAGTAATGTAAAAAGGACAACGCTTTAGTGATTTTTACCTTTAAAACAGAATTGAAAGAAATGATAACTCGTCCATTCGACTTATTTCGTCATAGCAATCATTAGCCCCTTCCTTATTTACCCAGTGCATTTATATTTATTATCATGTCTTGTTAAAATCCTAACTGATGAATGGAACAAAATGATGTTTCTTGCCTGCATGAAAGTATCCACTTTACGTGGTGTATCCTCTTGAGCTCCTTGTATATTCAGTGAATTGACCGAGTTCATTATTTTATCGAAATCCTTTTCAGCGTTTAGACCTAAAAAATAATGAAGTAAACAGCAGGATGTATTAAATTCTATATTACATCATTTTATCCATACTGCGCTATACTATGCTATACTGTATCGTACCTCGTAATATATACTATATCCCATACCATATTATATCACAAGTATTGTAAAAATTCATGGATAGGATGGTGGGAAATTGAATTACATCAGACTGTTCCACTAAGCACTTTCAACTCACTGTTAGTGGAACTCAAAATCAAGTTTCATTTCATATGAATTAATTAACTGAATTAACAATGAAAAGTTAATGAGAATTAATAATGGAAAGTTTCGCATTAATCTTAGAAAAAATGAAAAAACAATTCAAAGATTTTTAAAAATGGACAGAATACGGAAATTTCCGTGCAGCCGAATTTCTCCAAATATAAAATCTCGAATTACAACTCTTTGTTGGTGAATTTTCCCCTCATGTTGTTTAATTTGCACCATGATTTCTCTCGGAATAACGATAAGATGTAATAGGTAATTTAGTAAATTAAGAAAATCAGGGAAAAAATTACAAGTTATAACTCATCCAAATGATCATATTTATGATAGGAATATTGCTGTTTCCTATGCAAAGACCAATTAAATTTGAAAACCTCTTTTTACCCTTTTTTTGAAACCCCCTATTTTTCCCACTCCTTTTTCAACTACTTTTCTGTCCTCTCATAATTGAATGAATTTTAGGCGCTTTTTTTAAAATTAAATCTGACGAAAAATTAAAATTCCATCAATTCAAGCATTTGGCTTTCTTAAGAAATCAATGAAAAAAGTGCAGTGACAACAACAGTATAAGTATTGCACCGTTACAGTGGTAGTAGTAAAATATCAAGGTAAAATATCTTTATGATATAGTAATAATACGTGTGGCAATAATATTTGTTACTGCTACACTTTTAGAAATGCAGTGACAGTGATTATTAATCTGTTCAATGAAATATCCAAATAATCATTGAAAAGTTTAATTGAACAAGAAAAACAAATTCAGTTAGAGAATGAGTTATTACCAACCTGACTACCAGTGATTATTTGGATATTTTAATGCGTTTGAGCGGCTCGGAAGAAGAACGAAAGAAAAGAAAGCAAGACGACATAGTGTTAAAGCTAGGATAAAACGAAGAAATGGGAAAATGGATGGATGTTTATCTGAATTTTGTTGTGCACAGCAGAATTGAAGAGGGGAAAAAAAAGCTTCCAGCCACCTTACTTCTAATTTTCCGATACTACCGAATTAGTAACTCATCTCTCTGTTATACTTGACTGATATCTTGGTCATCTTTATAAGCTGAATACACAAAAACAAACCCGCATAAACAGAATGTGTATACGATTTTAAAATAAACAAAAGGAATGATTTAAGATATAACCAGTTATGGGAGATATATGGAGAGGGAAATAATAAAATAAAAAAATTGCGTTTCATATAATAGCAACTTTCAATGAAAATTGGTGAAACTATTGCCGAACTTCAGAAATATGAAATAATAAGAACATGGCAAACATATAATACGCACACACAAAAACCTAATTCATATATAGAGGTGATAACTAATGGCGCTGCATGCAGTTTTGAAAGTTATAAAGTTAGCGAGCATATCGGAGAACACACAAATGAAAGGAATATGATAGAATAGGAGGAAAGGCCAAGATCAGGCGGTTGTAGCAATCAAAACTGAATGAAAAAATTCAAAAATTACGAAAAAGAAAATGCTCAAAATGCTTTTGTGTGTGCACAACAATAATACAGTAAGAGCAAAAGATATTCAAAACGAAAATTTTAAAAAATTTCAATACTTTCATGAAACAACCTCTACTTGCATGTATCTCTTATCACCAATTTTTTCTTCAGCACATTTTGCCTGCATGTTTCATTCTTCTTTCATATACTCCATCCTTACCTACTTTTTGGATATTCTAGGAGTATTTAACTTAATCTTCCATGTTCTTATTTCATATATTTCAGCACATCCACCATACCTAAGCATGAGAATAATTAAGTAAACCGTATATATAATACCACCTTTCAAACATTTCAAACATGGACCCTCAAATTTTGAACTGGAATTAATCTAAAGCTGAAAAAAGAATTCTCCACATTTTATTTGATAGTTGAATTATACAGCAAATAAATTTATGAATTTCTCATAGCAAATATGATCGTTTTATTTGAATAATGAAAATAAACCAAGTACTTCGCGTGAGAAACCACTGAAGCAGTTGCTGCTAATACTACTTTTGCTACAACAAATACAACTCCTTACTGCAATGACTATAAGTAAGACTAACAAAAAGCAAGAAACGAAAAAATAGTACTATTACAGCTAACAACTACCGTCAATACGAATGCGATCCACCAACTGTTACAACACCGACCCTGCTCACTAAAGCTACTGTTTTTAGCTGAATTGAACAGAAATGGTAAATTCCACGTCATTTTCATCCAATTGAAGCAATTAAACTAAATTTACCTCATTTCTTTTTATCCTGTTAAATCTTCTTTGGATATTTGGAAAAGAAAAAAAAGAAAGTGAAGGAAGACGATCAAACCAGACCCTAGAAACCGACATCCGAATTACAACTTTAGCCTCTCACCAGATGCATTGGATTGTTGCTCATTGAAATTTAGTTTAATACAGCCGCCTGTTTTTAGTGTTCCCTGCCATACCTATTCATTAGTTATAACTGTGTGTATTGTGCTATTAACAGCATAACACGAATTCAAAAGATGAAATTAACGGAAAAGCTTTAAATTCTTCTAACACCACATTCAACCTCTGATAAAACAAACGAAAAGTTAGGAAGGCACGACCTTATCATTTGTGAAAGAATATCGAAGAGTTCTTGTCTCTGGAATAAAGCTTACTCCAAACAAACGCAGAATTTCCACAAATGTTAATGGATCCTTCAACGAAAATTTCTACTTCGTATCTCTTAATAATGCCAAGGACGTCGGTTGAAACAATAAAAAATTATTAGCACGACCGATGCAAGAAGCATAAATGATTGATTTCATCGCCCTCGAAAAATGGTTCAAGTCGTTATTACCTTCGGATGATAAATCGAATGGTAAAAAAAATAATTTATTCAACTTTTTTCTGATTGAAAACATATTACCCGCGATTATGACTTTTGATTTTGCAAAAAGTTTGAAATTACTTGATTGTTTAAGGACATTATCATTTACTCATGGCAAAAATTACTTGCCAACTTACTCGTGAATTTCCCAACATATAAGAACTAGTCTAACATGAATTTAATTCATTCCAGGTTGTGAAGTTAACATAACATTACAAAAAAACTTTGACTTATTTTGGATCACATCCTTGATAAATTATTTTAGTGGAACTAAATAAGTGAAGGAAACGGTTTTGAAAGAACAAAATTTTAATAACCCAATCAATTTAATAATTATAAATTAATCAATCCAATTTAGCAACTAAATTTGTCAACTTCAGATGAGAAATAATTCATAACCTTTAGCCAATTACTCCCAAATCTAGTATTTCAGGAATATTTATAACACCCAAAATTCCCCACCAATGAATTTTAATCTCTTAAATTTAAAAAATTGCGTAAATTTTATGCAGCGAAGTATTTTTCGAATTAAATTTATTCTGCAATTCACCGAGTCTTGAAAGTCTTACAACAGTAATTATTTTTGCGACGAACTATTAAATTTAATCCAAAAATTCTGTCAGTTTCACGAATATTGAGTCCATTACTGATTATGATTACCTTACCTGGGATTTTAAATGATAATTTTAAAATCTAATTGTGCCGCAGGCTATATACCAGAAGTCTTAGTACAAATTATTCCACAAAGTGCCCGATTCTTGACATATGTAAGATATGTAACATTCCACACTTCGAAAAATTTCATAAAGCACAATTATTAGTCTCGACACAATTTATGCCAACTAAAACTTTATTATACTCGGTGTATTTAACCGCTATTCTCCATCTTCCTTATGTTAAATCAGACTTTTATTATTATATCCACTAAAACTTCACATAATTTAAACTTATTATTCATTTAACAGTTATCTGAACTGCCTGAGAAATTTGGAAAAACCTAACGACAAACAGTAAATTACCTGCAATATGTAGCCCTTAAGGCCTTGTGAACGTTGCTCCATTACATAATAACGAAGATATTGCAGAATGAAAATCTGAAATAATACAGAGTGTATAAAGCATATAATTATCAACTGTTTTGATGACAATGAATAGACATTCGGTAAGAAGCTTTTACACCTTTGAAACCATCTGCTGCCGTACTTAAAACTGCGATTGCATATTTCAAAAGTTATTGCGAATAATGGTGTACTGTTTGGATATCCTACTCATCCACTGAGCAAAGAAAAACAAACTTTTCAGAAATTTATCACTGCATATTCAAACGTGATATGAGGCACATTTCAGAATTTATTAAAACAATAATGGTACAAATATGAGGTTTAGTACAAGTTTCAACAGTTCATTTGTCCCAAATAGAATTTGAAATTTAAGGACTGAAAATCTGTTGGAAACTGAATATAGTCCACTAGACGCACAAGAAATGTGCACTGTAATTCAAAACGTAAATAACTTCCAGAAGCTTTGAAATTATGAGGTATTTTCCCCTCAGATTTTGGTCATTACAAAATTCGAGACATCTAAAACTTAGACTTTAGTACAATACAGAAAAGAACTTTCAATAATCTGGATCTAGGTATCGTACAGGAACAAATACCCAATCCATTAATTATATCCGATGTCGTAATCCTTTGTTTACACCCCTTCTGTCTAATATGTGCCTAATTATTTGTAAATTACAAGACACTATAAAAAATTTCCCCTAAAATCCTGATTTCAAGCTCTCATGCGAACTCCATGTATATCATGCATTACATATTGTTATTTTTTACAGATCAAACTAAACTGTAAAGAAAAAAAAAGTCATCAATTGGTAATTACCAACTACAAATCTCCTCTGAATCGCAGAAGATACCACCATGCAGTTACCGTTTTATCACCTCCTCGGCTCTTTTTTAATGCGGTCAGAAATGGAAAGCAATATGCAACTGGAAAGTTGCAACAATTCTAGATTTGTGTTTGCTATTACCAAAATTTTTTGCGTAGGATACCTAATGAAGAACTGTTCTAAAAGCGAGTTAAATTTTCTCCAACATAAAAATTTAATTTGTACGGGCAGTTTTATTGCGGTAGAAAGCGGCATAGTTTTGAGCATAACAAAATATTCTAGATCTGAATGGAATAGGATGGAATAGAAGGGAATCAATTAACGGGAATAATAAAAAGTCAGAACAAAATACCTGAATATTTCATCCAAGATACTGATTTCTACTACAGTTCTCTTCTAATTTCTTCCTAAAATTACTCCGTGTTAAACTTTTTTTTACTTATTAAAAGAATAAAAATAGCAAAAAATAAAGTTTCAATAAGAAAAAAGTAAGAGATCATATAGCAAACGGCGGAAAAAAAAACCTAATGAATATTTTTACCCTAATGAATATGCAGATAATGTGACAAAAGTACAAGGAACAAAATTTTGCCGTTAATTGTAACATAAAGAAAAGTAGAACAAAAAAAAAGGAAGAAAAGGTGAAATTCAAGAACATTCCTTTTATCTAAGTCATATCACTTGTAATCATTTGCTACGACATTTCAAAATTTTACCAATTCTATTCCTATCAATTTCATTTTCGTACATTTACTTACTTTTATTTATACAGAATTTAAAAATATACGTACATAATATGTATTAAAAACAATTTATTGTTGGTAGTTTCAAATGCACTGGAAAATAATCACATTGATCTAACTTTCATCAGCTACTGATCTAACTTTCATCAGTTAATAATCTAATTTTCATCAGCTACTGATCTAACTTTCATCAGTTAGTAATCTAATTTTCATCAGCTACTGATCTAACTTTCATCAGTTAGTAATCTAATTTTCATCAGCTACTGATCTAACTTTCATCAGTTTAGTAATCTAATTTTCATCAGCTAGTGATGAAATTTCAACATAATTTTTTAATGGCTATTTTAGAAATGAAATAAAAATAAGCCTATGGAAAAAGTCGAATCCACGTTTTATTCGCATATACGATGGCCATGAAGTATAATTAAACAATCAACCAAATAAATTGAAATGAATGGGATTGCATAGATTGCATACTGGGAGTAGTGTATCGTTAGCTATTATTTTTC